ATATGACTAAATGTATGCTTAAAAGTAATGAATTATCTCATAGCTATCTGGGTGAGACAATGACCACCGATGCATATGTACTAAATAAATGTGTAATAAACAGACTTAAAAACAATCACATGGGAAGACTTAAAAACAGACTAAATAGATGTGCATTTTTTGAGAAGTTTTGGGTCACTCTACTATAGATAGGTGAAAAAAAAGTTGAATGATTAGAGTGAAGTTCTTATACTAGTTAGTTAGATATCATCAACCGATATTTATTAGTTATTCAATCTAGTTAAGCAATTTGTTGTGATTAGTAGAGATATCACTATTGATAAAACTGTATCATAGAATTGGGAAAGTTAATCCGAAACCTATACCCATGTATCTTTGAAAAAAAGTATAAAGACAAAACAAGATAACTTTTAAAATTCATCTCAACCTACTCCAAGAAGATCTCAAAGAGTGAGATGTCCTTCCATCATACTTATAGATTATAAATTACATAGTGATAATGTAGTATCTAAAAATGGTAATACACTTTGCATTTATAATAAACATCAAATCATTCAACTAGAAGTAGTATTTTGACTGTAGAGAATGGAAGAATGTCATGATTGAGGAATAAGAAACAATTGATAAAGACCGAAGAGTTGATGAATATACCATAATATAAACATTTGATGGATGTGAAGTGTGTGTTTATGATGGGTTTAAGCTAGTAAACACCATTGAAAAATAAGGCTAGGTCACTAGCCAAATACTTTCATAAAAAATAAAGAATTGATTACACGTAAGTATGTTCCAATCGTAAGCATAAAAACAATTCGATGAGTAATTGTTATTTATAGTTTCAAAAGTTGTCTTGTGTATCAACCTCATATTATGTCATTTTTCCTCTTTCAACCTTTAGGGATAAAAGTGTATGTTCTGCGTCACCAAGATTTGAAATCAATGGAAAGAGTATTAGTTGAAGAATATCTTGTATGATCCTAGACAAATCTCTTAACCTTGGAGTAAGTTTAGTAGTGATTTCTTAACCAAGAAAGACTTTAAGAAGTGTACAGTATATTAAAGGAAATTCAACACAAATTACTTTTTATATACACTACTAAAAATTCTTATTTTTTATGGGAATATTTTTGCAAAGTTTTTGTAAAAATTGCAAGAAATAAGTTTTTTTATAAATTTAAACAATTTTTTTGCAAGAAAATTGGCAGAAAAAAAATAAAGTTTCTAGTAGTGATATATCTTTATGTAGATGATTTAATTATCATATAAAATAAACAAACTAAAATTGAGAAATTCAGGAAAAGAATAAAATCAAAATTTAAAATATTTGATTTGAGAATTTTCAATTATTTTCTTGATATTGAGTTTATCCCCACTACTAAAGAATACTTTTACATTAGAAGAGATATACAGTTGAATTAACGATAATATTTAAGATAAAAAATTGTAATATAACATCCCTTATAAATAGAAATCTAAAGTTTAGTCAATTAAATTAAAATGTAACAACAAACTTGATATTGACTATAAAATTGTGGTAGTTAGTAGATTTACTAGTGATTGTAATGTGTTTCATATAGATGTAGATAAAAATACTTTGATATATCTAATTAATATATATATATATATATATATATATATATATATATATATTAATCCAAAAAAAAAATCATGAAACAAATATAAAAGTCATATAGTATATTCGATATCAAAGGCATTGTTGAAATAACTGAACTTGAGAATCATTTTATTACTATTCTCTGTCTATTTATTTTATGTTCACATCTGTGTATTATGTTTTTTATATTTTTAATGAAATAAAATACATGTTTAATTTAAATAAAATATATAATATAAAAAATACCGCTAAAAATATAGCTAAATAAAATGAAGAAAGAACAATTAAAAAACTGATATTCTTTTGGAGAGAGAGTGAATTAGAATTTTTTTTTAAATAAACTAAAGATAGGTAAAAAATGATTTTTTAATAAATTCATATAAAAAAAATTAGAGACTTCATTCTACTAAAAAAATAATACTATTATTTAAATATAAATTAGTCAACTTATTTACATATTTCACTATTTTTTTAATAAGAATTATTTTAGAGATTATAAATACTTTTAATATACTTACTAAATTTAAAATTATTTTATTTAAATTATATTATAATTAAAAATAAATAAATTTATAATTAGTCATCGTCAATTTTTTTGTATTTTTAAATTATTTTATATTTAATATTTTTTATAATAACAATTTTGTTATATAATAAAAAAAGTTAAAGATGAATGAATGATAAAAAAAATTTCATTTAAAGGTATGTTTGAAAATTTTTGATGTGGCTAAAATTATTCAGAAAATTGACAATTTGTAAAATATTAAATTACAATTATTATTTTAAACATTTCAATTCAAATAGAAAATATGCATATTACTAATTGTAATGATTAAAGGTTTATTTGTTCATAAAATTTACATACTACAAATAACTTATTTTTTTTATGTTATTAAAATTAAATATGAAAGATAAATACAGTATATTTAATACAATATGTTATTTTATTTTATTTGAGATAATTTTATATTTATGTTTTTGAAAATATTTTAAAAATATTGTACATTCAAATATGACCTTTATTTTATGAAAAAGAAAAATAAAATAGTAATAATTTCAATAAAAAGAAAGTAAGAGATAAGAATAATTAAGTTGTAAAGTTATGTTATATTGTCCTAAGTATTTTTATTTATTTTTCTTTTATTATAGTTGCACATGAATGTACACTCTAGTGTATCTTCATTTTCCTCTATTATAAAATTTAAAATTTTGAATAAAATGTTAGTTGTAAAATTCGAATAAAACCTCAATGGAAAACCATAAAAAATTTAAAAACTAAGTTAATTTATAACTTACACTCTTTCAATTATGTTCACTTATTTATATTATTTATATATATATATATATATATATATATATATATATATATATATATTTGATAATTTTCTAATTATAGGTTTAATATTTTTACTTTTTTTATTATTTAAAATAAAATACTAATTATTTTAAATATTTTTAAATAAAAAATTAATTTAATACAATAAGTTATAAAAATTTCAAGTTTATTTCATCTAATCACTATAATTTATAAATAAATAATTATAAAAAAATAGATGAAAAGAATGAATTTTTAATGAAAAATGAAAAATGAAAAAAAATTCATAACATGAATTAATTATTTTTAAATTAAAATATTAGCATATATTATAGTAATTTAATTAATTATTTTTTTCACTAAAAAATAAAGAGTATATTTACTAAGAGTGGTTTAAAATGAATCTTATATATTGTTATACAATATAATCAAATATAAATTAAAAATATAAATATTTCGTTAAAAAAAATTATTAAAATAAAATAAATATAAATTACTTAATAATAAAATAAATTATACATTTTAGATTTTTTAAACATAAAATAAATTATACTATCTATTTAGTTAGAGTTGTCCTAGTAAGTTAACCTGGTTGCTTGATGTGGACATGTCGTTGCAAACATTTATGCAAGTGCATTACACCAAATTTTATTAATACCATCTAGTTGCTCAATTAACAAATTAGAAACAGCGCTGAAGGATTCCCGACCACTTTCGCCTCCATTGGGTAATGACAACCTTTCCTTTGTCATTGCCTCCGGCAGCAACCTCTCTGCACTGAATCAATCCTAACACTCGACCTGTCCATTCTTTCCTCTTTTTCTACATTTTCCAATGATTCTCTTTCTCTTCTTCTTGTCTTCATCTATTTAATCTTCAATTTATTATTTTTTTTTATATTTTCTTTTATCACGCAAAAAACAAAAAAAAGACAACAGAAGAGAAGAAAAAGGATTGAAACAGTTTTGTCACCGAAAATCCCGAATATCCTTTCTTACCACATTGGGTGAATCATTGCAGTCACTTCTTATCTTTTTTCTTGTTTTCTTATGTTCTCCTATAATTAATGTGATTATGATCTCCATTTTTAAATTTCATAACTTTTATTTAACAACATCTTCCTTCTTCATGGAGCTGTGTAGTCACAGTAATTTAGTCATTTACATTCATAGAGTTGAATTTGAGACCTCTTTCAACCCTGTTATTATTAAATATCAATAATTTTATTATACAAGAGAATATAATTTTAAGAAACAGTCAATGTTAAACATTGTGATATGCATAGTAAATACAACATTCCTAGCATAATGTAACTTTAGTCAACTACGTACAATTGAATATGCAAACTCTACCATCCTATCAATGTCCAATATAAATAATTTAAGTAAAACATAAGGTAAATATATCTAAGTGATATTTGTAAAACATTAAACATTACAAAGGACTTGTTTAATGGGATATTGACAACCTCCAAAAACTCCTATAAAATCATATTCATGTAAACTAAACCTTGTTATAAAATTATTGTCCGTGTACATGCATGGAAGCTAAGTATAAAATATTTCAGCATGACCGTACAAAACATTTTTCTTGAAAACATTTTTCTTCAAGTTAATAGACATGAAGCTTCGTGTTAAATAGATAATAAAGAAATGGAGATCAAATAATTTAAATAACCCACCAAAATAAAGTAGATGGTTACTGTTGATTAATTTTAGGTGCAGAAGATGAAAATATGAGAATGATATTTACAAGATATTAAAAATAATATCAACTAAATAAAAGTAACTTCAAGAAATCAGTCACCTACCATTACTCTGTTGTTCTTCTTAGACTTAAGAAAAGGTAAAAGGATAAACTTTTACATCATTATTACAAGAAAATCGTGACTCGGATTATTCACGTTTTATTTTCAAAACAACCATTATTCATGTTCTTCTACTTCTTATTATTTACTGCGAAAGTTCCCTTCCCTAGTGTGGTTCTCTGTAAATCAGAGAGAGATTGTGACAAGGAACATAGCTCAAAGAAAAACTCTATCCTTGCATTAAATTTTTGTGGTTGGAAGCCATGGAAACCAATTGTAACTGCAACAAGAGCTTCGCCGACAGTTACATGTTGTTGAAGCCCGATGATGCGGGTTTCTTTGATCTTCTTCGTATATTAATTTCCAGAAAGGTATCACACAGGAAGTTTGTGGAAAGCCATGTAGATGATGATTTGGAGCAAAGTTTGGGTCATCGATGGCTCATATTTATTTCTGTTTCAGCTCAGAAGCTTTTGCAGCTTGTGGCTAAGCCATTGTCACTCTTTGGAACTTGGATTGAGCATTTCATCAATCTGGTTGCCCTCAACGGTGGTCTATTAATAAGGCTTGTTCCCAACCTCATCAAAGGTTAGTTCTTCTTCCTTTCTTATCTGTTAACATGTTTAATGCGTTTCTGGACAAATGTAAAATGAATAATGAACTCAGAATTAATTTTTTAACCTGAAATCAAATACTAAACATTTAAGACATATATGAATTACTATCTTCAACGAAATTTTCTTTGTATACTTGGTGTTGGTATAGCCATTGCTTTGTGTTTGGAAACAAATTAACACTTTTAACACAAAATTTGATCCTTGATCAGCGCAGCTGAATTTCCACCGGGGTTTTCTAGTGGCCCACCAAGCTTAGCACTAATCCTGATTAAAAAAATATTTATTTTAATATATATAAATCTATAAAAATAAAATAAAAATATTAATAAGATCATGTTAAATATGTCTAATTTTTTGGGATCTTTTTATTTCGAGTCTAGTTTGATCCATCGAGTCTAGTTTTTACGGGTCTGTTTATCTTTTATTTCAGGTTCTTCGGATTGATTATTAAATTGAATCAAGTATAAATTGTCTGATCCAAAGTACCTAATTTATGTTTGGATTGAGATGAAGATTTGAAGGAGAGAGTTTATGTTTAGATTGAGATGAAGACTTGAAGGAGAGAATTTAAAATGATTTGAATGGATTTATGAGATTGTTTGAATTAAGTGAAAGATAATGAATTTGCTTGATTTATTGTACCGATCAGATTAAATATAGGATAATTAAATAATAGTATTTTGAGTATAATGATCAAATTATGCTTAAGAGATAAAATGAGATATTCATGGAAATGAAAAAAAAAATTAATAAAAATAATGTATACATTTGTTACTTAATTACTCGTTTTCTTACTGTAGGACCCACTCCCTCTCACCTCAAATTCTCTCCCATCAATAGAAGTTAACCATCATATATTCTCATAAACCTTCTCCTTCAAATCCATGCAAATAAAGCATTAGTTATTTTTACTGTTTTTTTAACAAATATAAAAAAATAAAATGAAACACAAGTAGATGATATTATAATTATTTGAGGAAAAACCAAATAGAACATGAACTTTGTCCTTTTATTTTGAAAAAGATAAACATTCACTTTGCGTTCTAGCTAGTAATTATTTCTTTATAATTGGAAGTTTTATGTGATTGTAAAAAAAAAAAAAAAAAAGGCTAGCTACTAGTAGCATCCGATGAGTTTCATGTGCTTTTTTGGCTCATGGAAATATGATTATGCCATTTAACAGTAATATGAATGAGTATATATTATGTTTTATCTGATATAGAATAATATATTTATATAACAGGTAAATTGGTCTTGCCCGATCCTAAATCAGAAAAATATTTGTCTTTAATTGGAAATTTGGATGTGCGAATAAAGTTGGACGTGGTCGACCGTGAAGATTGTAAGTACTATCCTGCACTTTCTATGATGGCTTCCAAAGCATCCTACGAGAACGAAGCTTTCCTTAAAACTACCGTCGAAGATAACTGGAAGGTATTAAATAATTATTTAAAAGTTCTGATATAATAAACAGTTTTTGAAAGAAGACAATCCTTTATTTAGTTACATAAATCAACTAAACAATTGACGTTAACAGAATCGTAAAAATAAAATTGTTTTTGATCCTTTTATCGTCAAGTTCATTCTGATGTATCTCTGATTATATTTGTTTTCTGGTTGGACTTTTACAGATGGAATTTGTGGGGCTTTACAACTGCTTTAATGGTAAGAACTGAAAAAATATACATATTCCTAGACTTACAAGTTAAATGCCATGAAAGAGACATACTAGCATAGGTCCAAAATTAAGAAAAAGACAGACTACCTAACATGCATTTTTTAATCCACTATTTATTGTCCAAGGTAGAGAGATAAGAAAAGGAAAATTACCATTTGCAACTTGAAAAATCTAGGAGGGTATGATGCAGAGTCCTACACAATATAACTAATGTTTGATTTGCACTGGCAGAATATCAAGGAAAGGCCACAACTCAATTCTTGATTGCTTTGGATAAGCATCAAGATCGCCACACTTATGTTGTAGCCTTCAGAGGAACGGAACCCTTCCATGCTGATGCATGGTGCACTGATCTTGATATCTCCTGGTATGGGATTCCCGGCGTTGGAAGAATTCATGGTGGCTTTATGAAGGCCTTAGGGCTACAGAGGAACGTTGGGTGGCCAAAGGAAATTGGAGAACGAGACGAGAGTCTTCCCCCCTTAGCCTACTACCTCATCAGGGACATTCTAAGACAAGGTTTGAGCGAAAACAAGAAAGCAAAGTTCATAGTCACAGGGCATAGTTTGGGAGGAGCACTCGCAATACTCTTTGGGACGATCTTGTGTTTGCACGACGAGGCTTTGTTGTTGGAGAGGCTGGAAGGGATCTACACCTTTGGGCAACCGAGGGTTGGAGATGAGGTGTATGCAACGTATATGAGACAAAAATTAAAGGAACATTCTGTCAGGTATCGTAGGTTTGTTTACTGCAACGACCTTGTTCCGAGGTTGCCCTACGATGACCAGGAAATGATGTTCAAGCATTTTGGGACATGTCTTTTCTTTAATAGGCGCTATGAACTTGAGGTAAGTCATATCGTGATTATGCTTAGTATAATGCAAAATATGCTGTTAGTGATAGATAGTATTTTATTTGAAACAAAAGAAAATAGTTTTTCAATAATAAATAAAAGAAATAATAGGCTAAATAATTTCTGTACGGATAATCACATTAGTCTAATTGTTGTATGCGACTTGTAAATAATTTCAAGAATCAGATAGTAAATAATTTAAAATTTTAAACTTGATATAGTTTCAGAATCTTTTTCTGTATCAAAGTAATTTTCAGATTTTTTTTTAAAATTTTCTCATATTTTAAAATAATTTGTCAACATTGAACAACAAAAGGATAATTTACCCAAACGAATTTCTCTGTCACTTTACCTTATTCCTGAATGAACATTGACTTCTAATATAAATTCTATCTTTTTCTGTCTGTATATTTTTTAGATTATATCAGTAAATGAGACGAAGGTATTTAAAACTTATTTATATTTCAATTTTAAAACTCCTTTTTAATATTTAAATCTGTCAAAGAGTATATATGAATAGAAGGAAATCATAGATATTTGGCCGAAAAGAAAAATTACACACGAATCTTTGAACTTGGCTAGCATGATATTGTCTTGAAAGTTAACAATAGAAAAGTTGAAACACAATAATTAAAACATACACAAAGCCTCAGTTGTTAAGCTGTGTGCAGCTTTAAGAATGAGTTGGTATACCTTCCATTAGTTGTTTACAACTTATTTTATTCACACTATACCTTGATAATGATCTCTCTCTAGACAACTGAAACCTGATATTTGTATTTTAACGCAGGTTCTTGAAGAGGAACCAAATAAGAACTACTTCTCACCGTGGTGCATGATACCCATGATGTTGAACGCAATCTTAGAACTCATAAGGAGCTTCGTTATTGTGTACCAAAATGGACCTTACTACAGAGAAGGATGGTTTCTCTTTGGTTTCAGGACTATAGGGTTAATAATACCTGGCCTACCTTCTCATGGTCCCCAAGATTACATTAATTCCACTCTCTTAGGAACGATTGAAAAGCACTTCAAAGTAGAGTGATAATGTTTTACAACTCCAATCTCAAATCCAAACAAAAATACTATACGCCACGGTTTAATTGATTCAACTTGCTAATGTTGTCTTAAATTACAATCATCCTAGGTGTTTAATCTATAAATGTTCAATGGTAAAATTATATTGTTATAAAACTTGTTAATGTAAGAATGCTAAACTCTATTAAATTTATAGGTGTTTTATTGTGAAGTTCAATGAAAATTTTAGATTGTCTCATGATGAGGATGTTAAATCAATTTATATTTCTAGATATGATATCGAAAGTCACTTCTATCTTAATTGTGTCAAACATCCACTTTCTACATTAAATGATTATCCAGAAATTAACTTTCTACAACTAATTCTAGCCACATCAATAAAAAAATTGATTTTCTACTTACGTTATAATAAATATCACTAAAAATTAAGTCTATTTTTAAAGTTAAGTATTATAACTTCATACTAATTCAAAAATTACAAATATGAAAAATATAGATAAAACATTGAAGAACTTTATTTCATTATTTATATAAAAAGTTAGAATTGTATATAATGGATCACAAATTACGAAATGGTGAATAGAAAAAAAAATGTCATCTTTGTTAGTTTAAGGAATTGCTTCTTTCCATGGATTCCAACAAAAAGACCATAAACCTTCATTTCCTAATCACATGGCCCAAAAGCAAGAAATTTCGTTGCTCCTTTTTTTTTTTTCTTTTTCTTTGATGCAATATATCAACACCAAATCCTTCTTCCAACATAGCTTGGCCTTTCTGTCTCTGATTGTTTCACATTTTTGTTATTATATTACACTTGAAAAACATTTACTCATTTGTGTTAAAACTTTTACGTATACTTTGAAACACTACTAGAAATTCTAATAATTTTTTTTTGCAATTTTTGTATAAAATTTGTAAAAAATTAAGTTTTCTAAAAATTTATATAATTTTTTGCAAATATATATATATATATATATATATATATATATATATATATATATATTATTTAAAGGATTTAATTATCTGTTAAACTGTGTTACATGTTGATTAGTAGCGTATTACATTGTTGGAAGAAGGAAGGGTCGTGAATCTATCAAGATTCTAAATAAATCACGACACTCAATCCTGAAGGTTGGAATAAAAAAATAGGTATTTTGTTCTTTACTTCTCCAAGTCACGAGAATCTACTTAACCACTATGGAGCAAAGTGGTCGGACATGGAACACGTGTGTTGTCAAATATCATACAGGACCCTAAAAAGTTTTAAAATTTGATAAAGATAACTAATTATAGAGAAATTATCAATAAAATGTTTATGATAACTCAAAAAGTATTATTAATTATGATAGAAAATAATGAAATAAGATGGTGTTAAATGAATTCATACTATAAATTCTAAATCGAATATTAATTAGAAGAGTAACAACATTTAAATATCCCAAAAATATATACAATTAGGTTAAAGTAAAACTACTTTCTATAGTGTAACCTCAGACATTCATAAATAAATCTTTTCATACCTAATTTATTACACAGGTACACATGATGCATAAATATTAAACTGACGTCAACTCTATTTGGCCAAAAAAAAACAAACAATTAAATACATCCATTTCTTAGAATGAATAAAATAAATATCCTCATTTTATTTATTTACTAGTTTGTTCCCTTTTCTTTGGGTGCAATATTTGTTCCTCGTGGTCCTCTATAAATAAATAGACGTGGGGCACGTTGAAGTCTTGTGACAAGCAAAGGCTTCCGAAAATCCTCTTTTCTTCTTCTCCCTTCTGGTTATTCTCTCATTAGTCATGAGTGATCCTTTTTCCATTACCAACTGGATGGTCTGGAAACCCGAAGAGATGAGTTTCTTTCAACTCTTTCAGGTCTTGATTGGAAGTGATTTGCATAAAAAAGGGTTTTTGCAATGCCTTGAGTTCGTTGTTGAGTCAAGGTTCTACCCAAGGTGGCGTATATTTACATCGCTGTTTGCACAAAAGATGCTGCACTACTTTGCTAATATCTTAAAATGTATTGGTGATATCGTTGAGTCTCTTCTGAACCCACAAGCTTCTTCCCACAACAATGTCCTCATGCTTGTTTTTAACTGTATCCGAGGTCTGTTATCTTCCTCCTTGTGTGATGGATGAACTTCATGTTTTCATGATCTAAACACTACCAACACATAATCTAACACAGTTGATACATAGCTGAGTTCTTCATCATGTTGTCATATATTTGTTTACTATTTATATGAATGAAAAACTTTATTTGAAGAAGAAAAACTCAACATAATATTATTTTGACAAGCTTTTTCCCAAAAACATCCTTCATCATATTAATATAATATTTTTATTTATTATTATTTATAGTTGTTTGTTGATGTATGGATTGTAAGTATATCGATCCTCAAAACTCAATTTAATTATTTCTGCACCTTGAAAAAAATAGTCTCCGATTATTGATTAAATGATTACATATTTTTATTTAATTTAATTATATTTTTAGACTTTCAAATTTGAAATAATTAATAATAATCTCTTTGATTGAAAAAAAAATCATTTAAGTCTCTAAATTTGAAAAACATTTTTGTTCTCTAACAAGTAAATTTAAGAAACTAAAATGATATATATTTTTAATAGCAGATAGTATTTTGAACAAGAAATTTAAAAGGGATTTTTTCTTCTCAAATTTAAAGGTTAAAATGTTTTCTGTTGTTTTCTTTACATTAACATTGAATTCACTCCAAATTTAAAGAACTTAAAACATAATTAAGTAGACCTGCATGATATCTATAATTTCTCAAATTGTTAGTAATTAAAAAAGCATTTAATATTTAAATTGGAGTAATTAATCAAGTTTTATTATCTATATTTTATTTACTATTACGGACAGGTAAAGAGCTAGTGAATAAAGATTCTAAAAATTATGTGTCAATAATTGGTCATTTGGACAAGCGAGTGGGGTTGTTAGACAAGAGCATCAAAATTGAAGACCCCAACAGATACAACGCTGCTTTGTGTATGATGGCTTCTAAAGTATCATACGAGAATAAAGCTTTCGTTCATGATATTGTTGTAAATCACTGGAAGGTATACATAAAATAACATTTCATGTTTCTTTTATGATAAACATTTTAGTTACTGTATGTTTGAATGTTGAGAATGAGACTAAATGAAAAGGGAAATTGAATAAAATAGAATGGAATATAATGAAATGAACTTCTATTTTGTTGTTACGATACATAAATTATGCACTTTCCAGGGGAAGATGAAGATAAACATAGAAACAGTTTTCAATAGTTTCTATTATTTTATAATTCATTCTCATTTTACCAATAATGGGATATAATAATATTATTGTATTTAATTTCTTATCGACCGTAATAGCTAAGCAAACCATACTTACAAATTCATCTCTATTAAATGCAGAAGAATTTTATTAGGATTATAAGTAACCAATAAAAAAATCCCAGTTTCTAAGTATCGACATTTTTTTACATTCTTTAAATCATCATGAAGATGTTAAGCTAATTGAATTAAAGTGTCTCTATCTTATACTCATGCTAATTTCTTTGCTTTCATGTAGATGGAGCTGGTTGAATGTCGTGACTACTGGAATGGTACGAAATTATATAGAGGGGATCTGGTTTAAGAGAATGTTTGTGTTTCATCATTTTGTGTCTTACTTTTTTTTAGAAAGATGATAAATAAACAATAAAAATATTTTCGATTGTTTTTATACGATTTTATTGAAAATGGACATAAAGTAAAATTAATATAACGTTTTAAATTAAAATAAAAACAAGAAATAATAAACAGAAACCATTTTCTTAAAATAATTCACCCCTGAAAAAAAGAACTCCATGCATCCCATTAATTGTACAAAACAACATTGTCATTAAAAAAATACTAGCAATGTACTTTTTGATTCATTCTTTAAAATATATGTTTATTATTGTAAAAAAATTGATAATTATCACGCCTTATTTAATATTTGTTTTTCTAATTTCTCATTTTCAGTTAACTTTAAAAATAATGTGTATGTGAATGTGTTGTTAGCGTCTGAAAGATTAAGGATTTAGTTCTGTTTGAAATTTTGCAGATTATCAAGGTAAAGCTACAACTCAGGCTTTTATCATGTTAGACAAAAGTGCAGACCACCATACCTACGTGGTGGCTTTCAGAGGAACCGAAGTCTTTGATGCTGATGCATGGTCCACTGATGTCGATATCTCTTGGTTTGAGATTCCTGGTGTAGGAAGAATCCACGCTGGTTTCATGAAAGCCTTAGGGTTACCATTAGACTCAAGGAAAGAAGAATTTACATGGCCTAAGGAAATGAGAACCGACGAGAACCGTCATCGTGCCTATTACTCCATAAGGGATTTACTAAAGAAGCATTTGAGAGGAAATGATAAAGCGAAGTTTATTTTGACGGGTCACAGCCTTGGTGGAGCTCTTGCAATTCTCTTTCCCGCAATGCTGATTCTGCATGACGAGACATTTATCCTGGAAAGACTTGAAGGGGTGTACACATTTGGACAACCTAGAGTTGGAAATAGAACATTTGCAAGTTACATGGACAAAAATTTGAAACAGTATGGCATTAAGTATTTGAGGTTTGTTTACTGCAACGATATTGTTCCTAGGTTGCCTTTCGACGATGATATCATGAAATTCGAGCACTTTGGAACATGTCTATATTATGACAGAAGCTATAGAGGCAAGGTACATATATAGGTGAACGTGATCAACTTATGTTTTTCTCGAATTCGATATATATGAAGAGATCTATATAAAACTGACTTTTTTATGTACGAAATTAATGTAGAAAGTGCAAGAGGAGCCGAACAAAAACTACTTCTCGTGGAAGGCTATGATACCGAAGAAGGTGAATGCTTTCTGGGAGCTTGTAAGGAGCTTCACCATGGTGCATAAATATGGGGCTGAGTATGAAGAAGGATGGCTTCAAAGATTTGTTAGGCTTGGAGCCTTAGTATTTCCTGCAGGCATAGCAGCTCATGGCCCTCAAGATTATGTTAATGTTACCCAGCTGGGGCTTCCCTCACATTTGGATTAATTAATTGGCTCATGAACTCAACTCTATGAAGACCAAAGTCATGACTGATCTGTATAAAATAATTTCCTTTTAGTACGTATCCCGTGTATAATAAAGACTTTGACTTATCTTTTATGTACAGCTACACATTGAAATATATTTTATACTTGTTGAAGGATCAGCACATTCTTCAGTGTCCTTAAATATACTAACATTATTGGTCATATAATTGGTGTATCCGTTGTATGTATACTAGTTATGCTTCTTACTCTTGGTAGCTAAATAACAAGTTGCAACAAGCAACCCCTCAACTTGTTAATTATGCTCAACAATTTTAGCTTGTTGTCTCTCTTTATTTGTTTTACTTTTGCAAATTTTAGATGACTTTTTTCTCACTACTTATTCATCCTTCGGGTTTGTCTTTGGCTTGGCTCACTCTAACTCTTCCTATATTTTCTTCAATTCTCGAAGGTCTTTTAAGAGAGAAGTCTTTGACTCTCTAGAAGTCACGAAGATTCTCTCCATACACATAGGTCACTTGGCTCCTCGTCAAATTTAATTTCTGAAACCACTTTCTTTCATTTTCATTGCTCTATCCTGAGCGCAAATCTACATTTTTTGTTCTTTTACACCATTGAAACTTCTCGAGTTAGAGTCTTAATAATTTCGTTACGAAGTGCTACTTATAAGCAATGCCTTCATTTGTCAATTTGTCTTTTAGCGCCTAGTATTGGAGGGAAATTAATTTCATTTATCACAATATATATCACAATATTAAGCTCTAAGAGAAGTTCTTATTTATTTATTTACTAGTAATAGTTTTCATATTCAAGCATTGAAAGTTTTTTAATAGATATTAGTCAAGCAATAAATTATATACTTTTATAATACGTCAGATTTTATTTTGATATTAATTAACGTTAAGTAAATAATCCCATATATATATATGACTTGTATCTCAAGAATTAAACAAGCGAAAGAGAATTCTCAAAATAGATTAAGGTTTGAATTAGAAGAAAGGGGTGTGAGAATAGCAGGTCCCATGACTTGCTTTATGATGCAAGGCCATGCGGGGACATTTTTTGTTGAATAGCATGGATTCTTTCCGGGGATTTGACGGTTCTGTGTGAACTTGTATGGGAGGATGTATGGTACCCTAGACTTGATGATGTCTAAATATGATATTTAAAATATTCTATTTTAGATTTGAAATTATCCTATCCTTAACTTCTACAGAAAATTTGTTCATTATTCATTTTGAAATATTTGTTTTCCTCTTTATGTCTTCTATCTCCTCTTCTTCCGTGTCCTCAAAGTTCCATTAATGCGTTAATGTAGTGTTCCAATTTGAAGAGTAGTGTTCAGTAATTTCCCTTGAAAAATTGTCTAACACTATATATTCACCCTTTTAAGGTTTTGACTGGCGTAAAGAATTGAGAAAAAAGTTGGTCGCAATCATCGTGCTTTTTTATATACACAGAATACAGAGGTACCTAGGTCCAAATAATGTGGTGTAGGGCTTTCTAAGGTATGCCAATTACATCAAATTGGCATCAAGGCAATGTAGAATATATTCTTTTAAAAACAATTACGAGTTAATGATTTTACATGGAATTGATCACTGAGCATGGCTGCCGAAGCAGCTGCTTGGAGACCATATCTGTGCATATTTCGAGAAAGAAAATACTCTGCACTTAGAAACCTCGTGGCCCTGTTGTATGGGTATTGAACTTCTCATATTTTCAGCTTTCAACTGTGCCCTTCTCAGCTTGTTTAGAATCTTATCCATTGATGACGATCTCTTCTTTTCTAATTTCATCTGTGTCAAATATTATCATTGTCAGACAAGATTAAATTGTTGTATTATATATACACGTTCTACATATATTTTCTTAGCTCTGCTATTTTGTATATATATATACTGCAATATAGCAACCTCCTTCAATGACTTAAATATCTTACTTTTTAACCAATGATAATATGAATACGAATTGGTGTTGGACTCCATACAAACATCGTATAAGAAAGTGCGATATACTAATTGTGAACAGCAGAAAAAACCTCAAGTTTCCGGATAGAAGTTTCAGCCTTTGCTTTCTGTAAATTCTCCCATGCAATGATTTTGGCTTCCTCTCTCTTTAACCTGCGGCAAAGCAGAAATTTATGGATAAATGCATGAGTAAAATAATAGCATCATATGCACTTCGCTCTCTGAATATTAAAGAGATTCATAGAACATGTCCATGATGACTTAAGAAACTGAAAAGCATTCATTTGCAGCTTCAAAACTTATTCTATATCGAGAAATTATTCTGCTGCTACCCTTTAACCACGGAATCAAAATGACTAATGTAATGAGTTTTAAAATATATGGTTTTCAGTATTTAAGAAAGATACTTGGAAGTGTCTATGTTTGACTCGTCAATTTCCCAACATGAAGCTTGGTCTTGTGCACTAATCTCTCTCGAGTCTTTGCTTTGCAGTAAGTCTTTTTTGGCCAATTTGGTTGCATGCCTCTTAGACCATCTGATAATAGTAGCTTGACTGTCAACTTGCACATCTCTGACCTCTAATTTAGGAGAATGGCGTTCTTGTTGATGCACAACTGAAGTGGCAGCAGAAGAAATAGGAGATGAATGTGCGTCGTTCTCTGTGTCTGCAGGGCTCATTTGGGTACCTTTGTCACATCTTGAGAAATTAGATGCTACATTTTCCTCATTCATCATTTCATCATGTTTCTCATCTGTAAATTAAAACAATTGAATCGTTTTAAACATGTAGATTCTCCTATGTCAACAAGTACTAGTGTATAAATTGTATGCTAGAATCCAACAAGTGTGTTGGTAACACGTGCTAAGCTCACCAGAAAGGACTTGAATTCTAATCGAGCATTTTCTAAACGTGGCTAAACTGAAAACTAATTTCACACTCAATCTAAAATTTCGAAACCCAGGAGTAGTTCGATTGTTTTATCAAATATTTAAACCCTAGTTACAGCAATTAAAAAATTATGCGGTAGACGGTGTGGTCTCTCACCGTAGTAATTTAAATAAATAGATAAAACAATGCTTATTCTTGGAAAATTGTACATTTCTTTTATGAATGGATTTGTCCTGTTGGCAATGTGATCTGCCTACAAGACAGTGTGCATTAACTATCCCCTAAAAACTAGGCATAAACAGTGGCCATCACGTGTCAGAAACAGTTTCTCCTCAAAACTATTGATTACATGTACGATATGAAGCATCTTATAAGTATGGAATATGCAATGTATTAGAGAAATTCTACCTTAGAAAATTCAAGCTTAAAGTACTAATTGTAAGAAATCCCATCTCTTATTATATCTCAATCAACTATCTGACAAAATACCAAAACTCTAAAATTTCAAAGGATAACAAACAACTCTCATGTAACTACAGTGAGGATGCCATGTCAGGCCACCATATTGTATTTACCTTGAGAGATAGGAGATGATTGGTCACATGGTAGTTCAGAACACGTGGTGGGTGCAGTGGACAATGAAGAAAGCACCACACCATTCTCGTTGAGAACAGGACTAGAAAACTGCATCCCATTGTCCATGTCATAACCATGAGCATCATAATGGTGAACAGAAACAGTAACTGGTGCCAACACCCCAGTTGAGAAGGGGGAACCTACCACCAAGTTTCTCACAACCAACCCTTGGCGCAGTGGAACCACAGGTGAGTAACTTGAGTAGAAAGCAGCCACTCCAGGAGGCACAATTGGACCACTTATTGACTTTGGTCTGCGCTGAAGTTGTTGTGCATGTGAACTTCTGCTCTCAGCATAGGCTGAAACTGGACTACAAATCCACCTCTCAGCCTCATCCCATTTAGAAGGCATTGTTCTTCCACCATTGAAAGGTGTTATCGACCCTACCGTAGTGTGCCTTCTACTGATGCTGCTGCTGCTGCTTGAAGCCTTTGAAACTCTCTCTGAACTCCAACCCTTTTGGATCCCAGCTGCGCTTCTCTCTCTATAATATGGTGCCCCTGGACTTGGGAAAGAGCCCAAGTTCTGGAAAGAAGACGAAGAACTCTTCTTCATGACACTCAGTGAGTCAGTTAATTGCCCTGTCGATCGAGAGAGACACGGTAGAAGTTGGAAGAACAGAAAATCCCACTATAAAAATGGAAAGCTGAGCATGTTTTGACTCATCATCTATTTTAACCCTCTGTCTACTTCTACTTTTACGTGAGGTTGATATCTCGGTGTACTAAAATCTGATCAGATTCGTTGTACCCAAAAAGAAACAACATTAGATTTTGACCAGTCATGCTTCATCACTCAACCACTTTGTTTCGGTACACCAAAAAGAGGGTAATAACAAGTAACATGTAGTATCAATTGACAAACACATAATATGTGACAACAAAGTCGAAACCATAAAATCAATAAGTAGGTACTAACTAATTTGATTTGTTGCTAAGCATGGTAGTCGTTAATTACCGGTCTTAATTTGTGTAGCGATGAGAGTGATGTTTAATCGGTGATAAGCAACTTTTTGGGCATGGATCGACATTCCCGGAATGTGGACATGTTACGTATTGTGAGAGGAGACATATCACGTTGGTCCAACCCCAGCGAAGCAACCATTTTTCACAGGAAAAGAACGATTCATGGAAGATGGAATAATGAGAGTGAGGCAGGTGGCGTTAAAGGGAGCAAGACGTGAACATCATCTGTGAAACATTTTGTAGACTTCCAAGAAACCCATCCTTGCACTTGTCATGTCGTGTGTAAATTCCAAATGCCACTCACATGCAGTGGACCGCAGGCTATCGCATTTTTTTATTGTACACATCGTCATAGGCGGTATTTGGTTTCCATTTGAATTACAGTGGCCGTGAGATTTGAGTTTGTAATGACAAAATTGGTTAGAAGGAAGAGTTGCCCTCTACATATATTTTCAATTTTCTTAATACACGTTTTCACCTAACATTATTGAGTTTGGTGACCAGCTATCTTTCAAATATTTTTACAATGATTTTTAATGTTACTTTAAAATATAAGTTTGCTTTCAATTTAATATTATCCCCTACCGAGGATCAGACTCTGGCAGGGCGGAACTTCTTAGAATTTGGCCAATGTTTTAATTATTTTATAGATTCACGAAAGGAGCTCATTAAGGGTTTCTCCAAACAATTGAAAATGTCTTCGTGATTCAAGTGTTATTTTCCCGTCTAGTGTCTTTTGCATATTGTCATTATGTGCCTATATGAATCCAATGTGAATCTTCACATCTTCATTTTGTTATGTTAGAGTTTGGATCTATGTACTTCTTCTAACATGCCTCATACCATCTCTAGTTATCAGTAACGAACACAAGAGAACTGTTGGGAAAAATATGCGGAATCTTCCCATATGGTCAGATCTGTGAAAGTGAAATAAAAGCGGAATAATTGCACACACAAGTTGATAACGGAGTTCGGCCAATAATGCCTACGTCTCCGGACTACTACAGATCTTTTACTAGGAGAAAAGAAAAATACACAAGTGTTTACAAAACACTCCCATAACACTCACAACCCAATTACACCCAGAAGCTAAACTAAAACTCTCTAGTTTTTCTGCCTCTCACTGGTGCCACTCTTTCTTCTCTAAGAGAAGTAGTATTTTGTGTGGGATGGGATACATTTGCTTGCAGGGAGAAGACCAATTTATAGCAAAAAAATTGGCACTGTGCATTACATTAAAATATGTCCCATGAGCACCTCATGGTTACATAAAAAATTTGGCAGCCACCCTTGCCCACTTTCTTTGACCAATTGCAGCCACCCTTGCCCACTTTCTTTGACCAACAATCTCCCACTTGAGGACCGATTTCAATTTGTCCTCACACCTTGATCAATAGTAGTCTTCTCTTGTCGTTATCCTTGTAAGCTAACTGAAGTTGAAGCATAACTTCGGCTTGTCAATAGTCACCACCTTTGTTAGCATATCTGCTGGGTTCTTACTTCCCACAATTTTCTTCAATGTTAGCATCTCATCCTCAAGTAGAGATCTGATGAAATGATAACGTATGTCGATGTGTTTGGTTCCGGAGTGAAATGTCTGAATTTTTTGCCGGATGTATTGCACTTCGACTATCACCGTGCAAAACACTCCTTTCTTGAATGAATCCCAACTCGCCAACAATCCTTGAAGCCATATCAATTCTTTATCGGCTTATGTCACTGCTACATACTCGACCTCGTAGTGGATAAAGCAACAATTTTCCGTATCCGCGACATCCAACTAACAGCTGTAGTTCCAACAAGTAAACACATACCCAGTGGTGCTTCTTCGGTGATCAACTTCACCTCCAAAGTCTCGCATCTACGTAGCCCTGCAATTTTAGATCTCCCTTTCTAAAATACGGACATTTTTCTGTTGTGCCTCGTAGATACCTTAGAATCCATTTGATCGCTTCCCAATGAGCTTTTCCTGGATTTGACATGAATCCGCTTACAACTCCCACTCGCATGGCCAATGTCCGGCCTCGTACGGACCATCGCGTACATCAAACTTCCAATGGCTGAAGCATACGGAATCTTAGCCATTAACTCTTCTTCATCCTTCGTTTGAGGAGACTGATCCTTGGATAGACGAAAATGGCAAGCCAAAGGTGTATTGACTGGTTTGGCATTGTCCATGTTGAATCTCTCGCAAAACACGGTTGATGTACTCCGCTTGAGATAAGCTGCAAAACTCCTTTTTGCTTATCTCTCGTGATTTGCATTCCAAGAATCTTCTTTGTCTGGGCCTAAGTCCTTCATGTCAAATTCTTTTGACAACCGCTTCTTTAAGTTTATGATCTCATTCATATCTCGAACCTCGCTACTAGCATATCATCAACATAAAGTAGCAAAATGATATAACCTGGACTTATACCTTTTGAAGAAACAACGGTGATCGGCGTTGCACTTCCGGAAACTCTCCTTGTGCATGAAGCTTTCGAACTTCTTATACCACCGTCTTGGAGCTTGTTTCAGGCCATACAAGCTCTTTTTCAATCTGCACACCAAGTTCTTCTTTCCTTCGAAAAACCTTCAGGCTGGTGCATGTAGATCTCCTCATCTAAATCTCCATGAAGAAATGCGGTCTTCACATCTAATTGCTCTAGGTAGAGCTCCTCACTAGCCACAATACTTAACACGATCCCGATAGTATTGAGCTTTACAACCTGGAGCAAAGATTTCGGTGTAGTCGACTCCTTCTTTCTGCTGAAATCCTTTGACGACCAGTCGAGCTTTGTATCTCTTAAAACCATCATGGTCTTCCTTCACTCGATACACCCATTTGTTGTGAAGTGCTTTCTTTCCCATAGGTAACTTGACTAGTTCCCATGTCCGATTTGAGATCAAAGACTTCATCTCGTCTTTCATGGCAAGCTCCCACTTGCTAGCATCCGTGGCTTGACAAGCTTCCGTATAATCTTCAGGCTCCCTCCATCGATCAACAACATGTAGTCTATGTATCTCCTGTTAGGCACATGAGGCCGAGAAGACCTTCTCAATACAGGGAGTTGGAGTAGGAGGTTCCGCTTGCACATCAAGTTCTTCAACCGATTCCTCCGGCTGAGGACTCCTCATTATAGGACTTTCTCGGGATATCTTCCACCTCTGCATAAACCGGCCCACTCGCTTCGAGTTGCTGGCACCTGTATTATGCTTGTCCTTGTACATCACTCTTTCATTGAAGATTACGTCTCTGCTGCGGATCATCTTTTTGTTTTCATCGTCCCATATGCGGTAGCCAAACTCATCTTCACCATAACCAAGGAAAGTACATTTCTTTGATTTTGGATCAAGTTTGTTTCTGCCTTGATCACCGATATGCGCATATGCTACACAGCCAAAAACTCTAAGATGTGAGAGTTTTACCTCTTTTCCGCTCCATACCTCTTCCGGTATCTTGTGTTCCAATGGTACCGATGGACTTCGGTCGATCAAGTAAGCCGTCTGTGTTGATCGCTTCGCCCAAACCGCTTTGGTAAGCTCGATCGCACACGCATGCTTCGGCCCTTTCGATCAACGTTCGATTCATACGCTCAGCCTACACCATTGTGTTGAGGTGTACCCGACACGGTTCTCTCCATTCCGATTCCGTGCTCATAGCAAAACTTCTTGAATCCGGTGTCTACATATTCACCACCATTGTCGGATCTCGAGCTTCTTAATCTTCAATCTCGTCTCATTTTCCACCATAGCTTTCCAAATCTTGAAAGCTTCAAATACTTCCGACTTATATTTCGGAAAGTAAACCCATACCTTCCTGGAGTGATCATCAATGAAAGTCACGAAGTAATGCTTCCCACCAACGGATGGGACAGTCGTTGGACCCCAAACATCGAGTGGATGAGCTCAAGCTTCTCTTTCTTTGGGGTTCTTTTACTTGTCCGAAAGCCGACTCTCTTCGCTTTCCAAGTATGCGTCTTCACACATGTCAATATCTACTGATCGAAGACCTGGTAATTTTCCTCTCGAGTGCATGACCTTCATTCCTTTCTCACTCATATGTCCAAGTCTTTGGTGCCATATGTTGGAATTTTCATTTGCTCGTAATCGCAATCAAATGACATGCTCCTGCGAGTCTTGTGAGAGTTCCACTCTTTTTGCCTCGAGCAATCGTCATCGCACCTTTTGAGATCTTCCATTCATCACCATGGAAGATTGTCGTATAGCCTTCACTAGCTAATCGACCTACCGAGATTAAGCTCTTTGTCGGTCGGGAATATGTCCGACATTTTTCAATTCCCATACGAGACCCATTCGAGCTTAATCCTTATTGCACATTTGCCTACAATCTCACATGACTGTTCATTACCAAGGTAAACCTTACCAAGGTTTCCGGAACATAATTCTCCAACAGTTCCTTCGTGAGGTAGCATGAAAAGAAGCTCCGAGTCTAACACCCAAGACTCCTCCCCGCCTTCAAGAGAGCATATCAACGCCTCATCTTTTCCCGAGGTGGAGGCAACGTTTGCTTCGTCCTTTGCTCCTTGATTCTTCCGTGCACTCTTGCACTGGTTTCTGAAGTGTCCGGTCTTCCCACAATTCCAACACTCGATCGTTTTTGAGTTGTGGGAACTACGATGATTTCCGGACTTGGACCGCCTGTCCTTTGATTTTCCATGTCCAATTTCTTTGGTTGAACTTCTTCCTCTTGACTCGTATGCAATACGAAGAGGTTGATGCTTCACCCGACTCTCTCCGCCGGATCTCTTCGCCGAGAACCAAATTTTGAACATCATTAAATCTTAACTTATTGTTTCCCGATGAGCTACTCACAATCGTGACCGTAGCATTCCAACTCTCCGGTAGGGAAGACAAAAGTATTAAAGTCTCGTACTTCATCATCGAATTTGATGTCAATAGAACTCAACTGGGTTGTTACGGTGTTGAGTTCATTGAGATGATTTGCCACCGAAGCACCTTCGGACATCCGCAGGTTGAACAATCGCCTCATCAAGTGAACTTTGTTTGAGGCCGATGGTTTCTCGTACATGTTGGAAAGAGCCTTCATGAGATCTCGAGGTCGTCTTTTCTTTCACAATGTTGAAAGCAACATTACGGGATAATGTTAGACGAATAACTCCAAGAGCCTGTCTATCA